TATGAGATTTGGGAAGAAGGGGAAGTTGAGCCCGAGGTTTATTGGCCCTTTTGAGATATTGAGGGGTGCTGGGGAGGTTGCTTTTGAGCTTGCCTTACCTCCCAGCTTGGCAAGAGTTCATATGATATTTCATGTTTCGATTCTCCGTAGGTATCACGGTGATCCTTCGCACGTGTTGGATTTCAGTTTAGTCCAGTTGGACAAGGATCTATCTTATGTTGAGGAGGTAGTGGCAATATTGGATAGGCAGGTTAGAAAGCTGAGGTCAAAGAATATTGCATCTATGAAGGTTCAGTGGCGGGGCTAGCAGGTCGAGGAGGTGACCGGGAGACCGAGTAGGATATGCACAATCGTTACCCTCATCTTTTTACTACTTCAAGTATGTCTCTATGCTCGTTCGAAGATGAACGAATGTTTAAGTGTAGGAGGATGTGACGACCCAGCCGGTCATCTTTAGAATTTAGGCCATGATCCTCTATTAACTGCTTTCCCCGAGTTTATTTCTGCTATTTGACTTGTCGGGATGTTCGGTTTTAAGTTTCGGAGAGTTTTGGGACACTTAGTCCCTAAATGATAGCTTAAGTGTTGGAAAGTTGACCGTAGTTGGAATAGTGTGAAAACGGCCTTGGAATAGAAATCCGATGGTTCTGTTAGCTCCGTTGGGTGATTTCGGGCTTAGGGGCGTATTCAGATTGTGTTTTGGAGGTCCATAGCTAATTTAGGCTTGAAATACCGAAAGGTCGAATTTTGAAGTTTTCGGTTCAATAGTGAGATTTTGATCTGAGGGTCAGAATGGAATTCTGGAAGTTGGAGTAGCTCCGTAGTGTTGAATGTGACGTATGTGCAAAATTTCAGGTCATTCGGACGAGGTTTGATAGACTTTTTGATCAAAAGCATATTTTTGGAGTTTTTGGAAGTCTTAGGCTTGAATCCGATGGAAAATAGGTGTTTTGATGTTGTTTTGAGCGTTCCGAAGGATGGAACAAGTTTGAATGAAGTAATGAGATATGTTGGTTGGTCTGGTTGAGGCTCCGGGGGCCTCAGGATGATTTCGGATGGTTGACGGAAAGATTTTTGGAAATTTGAGTTGCAGCTTCAGCTGTTTATCTGTCATAACTGCACCTGCGAGTGTGAGACCACAGGTGCAAAGTAGCAGAAGCGGCGGATCAATCGCAAAAGCAGAAACGGGGAAGTTCAGCAGGGACTGCAAAAGCGGTAGGATTTCCGCAGGAGCATTACCGCATCTACGGATGGGGAGTCGCAGATGCGGAAGATGGGTTTTAAGTGAGAAGTCGCAGATGCGACCAGTGTTCCGCAAAAGCGGTACCGCAAAAGCAATCCCAGCACCGCAGATGCGGTAACAGCTGGGCAGAAATATGAAATTTCGAGGGCTTAGTTTCTAAAGTTGGAAATTCAATTTGGAGCTCGGGAGAGGGCAATTTTGAGAAGAAATTGAAGAGGAGATCAGTGGGTAACAATTCTTTAACCCTTTCTAGTTACATTCCATCAATCTATAGTTAGTTCATCATTTAATTTCGGATTGGAGATGAAAATTGGGGGAAAAGTTGGAAGAAAGTTCTTAGACCTAAAATTCGACTTTTGATTGGGAATTTGACCTTAGATTTGGATAATTTTTGTATGTATGAACTCGTGAGAGTATGAGGATTTTGAAAATATAAATTTTACCCGATTTCGAGACGTGGTCCCGAGGGGCATTTTGGTCATTTTACCTAATTTCGCGTATTATCTTAGAATTTCTTTGTAGAATCAGTTACTTGAAGTGTTATTTACAATGCAATTTAATTGAATAGATTTGGGCCATTTAAAGTCAAGTAATCATGGCAAGAGCATGGTTTCAGATTGATTATTGAGCCGGTTCGAGGTAAGTGGATTGTCTAACCTTGTGTGGGGGACCTACCCCTTAGATTTGGTATATTTGATAATTCAAATGCCTTGTACGTGAGGTGACGAGTGCGTACTTGTGCTAATTGTTGGAAATCCAGTTTTCATTAAGTAATTACTAGTATGCTTCCTTTCCTGTCTGTATTACTTGCACCATTAGGCCTGTTGTTAGCTTAGCGAAGAATGTCTAAGTGACTTAATTGCTTTACTTGCTCAAACTGCCTTACCTGAATTTCTGTGTAGCATGCTAGGCTAGAATTACTTGTTTGCCTTAATATGAAATTTGCCATTTCTAAATATTTTCCTGTTGCTGCTGTGTATTTACATTTGGGACTACGGAACGGGATTCTGGTAGATCCCCGCGCATAATGAGTTGGACTACGGGACGGGATCCTGAGAGATCCATTGGATATTCATATTTGGGACTACATGACGGTATCCTGGGAGATCCTAGATTGTTATTTTGATGCTGAACTGTATTTCTTTCTGTGATTACCTTGTCTCTGTAATAGTTGTTGTTGCCCTTTCTATCTTGTGACACTTTTATTGCTGCACTTATTTATATTGTTTTGTTCTACACTGTTGAACCTTATACTTTATTTAACCTCAGTTGGGCCCTGACCTTCCTCGTCACTACCCGACCGAGGTTAGGCTTGACACTTACTAAGTACCGTCGTGGTGTACTCATGCCCTTTCTACGCATGTTTTTCATGTGCAGATCCAGGTACCTTGACTCAGACTTACCATCCTTGAGGCAAGGCGACCCTACGGAGACTTCGAGGTATATCTTCCGCGTCAGAAAACCGAGGAGTCTCTCTCTATTCTCTCTTGTAGTTACAACCATTCTGTATTTACTTGTTCTAGAGTATTCTGGAGTTTGAGCACTATGTAATAACCTTAGCTTGTGATTCATGGGTTTCCGGGTCTTGGAAGTATGTATTGGTTTGAAAGTTAAATATTGTATATGCCGAGCGGCACTTTTAAACATTGTTTTATCACTCTAATTCTATCTTAAATTGTTTAATTTCCGCAATTTGGTTTATCTTCCGCAATTTAGGTTTACCTAGTCGTAGAGACTAGGTGCCGTCACGATGGTTCACAGAGGGCGAACTGGGGTCGTGACAACATTGAATCAAGCTAAGGCTAAGCTAATTAGGAATCGGCTAAATAGGAAATCAATTAACTCTTAATATTATCCTAATCACCTTAACTAAACATTGAACCAAACCTAAAGGAGAAACAAACACAAGAGGAAAAATAGAACAAACAATTTACCAAAACCTAAACATTAAACCTAATTAAATCTGAGCCTAAGCAAATTGAATTTCTAATGATGAGATTTTAAACATGCTTCAGTTACTCTAGCAAGACAGATGCCAGTAATCAAACTAACAGTCAAAAAGAAAAGAAAAAAAACCTAAATCATGCGTCTAAATAAGAAAACTGAACATGCAAATGGAAAAGAAACAAAAAACAAGCATGAGAGTGAAAAGAATTACCTAAATTCATTTTAAAAGACCGGACCAGCTACGAATTTGACCAAGCTTTCACAAGGTAACATAAACTTGAACTAACATTAATCGATTGTTCTCAACAAGAACAGTCGGCTAATGAAAGTTTGGGGTTCAAACAACCAAGCATTGACCCGAAATCAGAAGAAAGAGGAAAAATTAGGGTTCAGGGGATCTTAGATTTGAGATTCGAAGAAATTGGCAGCGATTTTAGGAAAATTGACTGTAGTTTTGGGTCCAAAAGGGTGTGAGGAGTATGGGGTGTGATTTTGGGGTTATTTTGGTGACTTAGGGTTTTTAGGTTTGGGTTTCGGATCTAAGATTTGTCACACATCCTTTTTACCACCCGAGGGGGATATAAGGGAGTTTTTCCAATTAAAGTGACATTATTCGAATTGGGATTATTTTACTTATTTTTCAGAGTCGCCACTTGGAATAATTTATTTTTTGGTGCCCCAAGTCACCGGTTTATTTTTAAATCCCAAATCAAGGAAATTTTCGACTTTATTTAAAAGTCTGCGAACCAAAAATTCTAGATAAGGAATTCTGTTAACCCGAGGAATGTTTTAAGCATTCCCGGGTTTCATGATTTTAGCATGGTCGCTTTAATCATACTTGGCTTAATTAAATTGTCTAATTACTTATTTTAGAACCTATGTACATCTACCCTCCCTTAACCGCTTTTAATTGCTTGACTCTTCGTATTTGGGAATTATCCTAAAATGAGTCACGCAAACGTGTACTCATTTCGTTTGAAGCGTCAAGAATTATGTCACGCGTACGTGTATACAATTAATCATTCTTTATTATTATTAAGAAAAGTTTGGCTGAAATTACACGAACGCATACCTCGATTTATTTTGAAAGTCGAAAATATGTCACGCGAACGTGTACACAATCACGATGATAGATTAAATCGCGCCTAAAGTATTATAACGTATTTGGATCATTTATTTTCCAGGTTTGGGATTGTTGTAAGGTCAAGAGTTATGTGTAGAAGTGTGAAGTTTAATTACTAGGATTATTTACAATGAATTGCTTTTTTCATGTTAAAAAAAAAATTGCAATTGTTTCTTATGGAGGAGATATGGGCTAGCTTATCCATCTGGTTACCGGTGTTTTCATTGCGGCCCAATTAATTTAACTCATGGTCTATATGTTTTAATGAATGCAAAAGGGTCAACTATTTTCAAGATCAAATACTAGCCCATTAATATGAACGAAATTCCTTAATTCTAAATAAAAAATAAAATCTTGTCCAGTTGATGTAGTTAGCAAAAACCATGAAACATACAAAAAAAGGAATCCAAAGTCCTAATAAGCATAGACCAATGTAATAAACAAAATGGCATGACAAAATATCTCGTGAATTCCAATGTTTAGCATACAAAACCAAGAGGCAATATTCATCAATTTAAACCAAATTTCCATAAGCTTTACGTAAACTAATCATGAGCGCATTCGAAAGCTTAAACAGACAGAAACTATAAAATTATCAGTTCATCAAATATCTAACAATAACTTATAATCATGTAGCTTAATAAAATTGAAGAAAAGAGGGGGAAAAAGAAGAAGATAAGAACGAACCTCAAATCAATAAACTTTCTTCAATATTCAAAAGGCGAATTTGTACAACACAGTATCGTTCTGACAGCCAAAGTGAAATTTCATTAACGGAATCCAGGTCGGAAACCTCGTCGTTTGACTCAAAGTGCAATAACTTGTCAACTTCGAGCATGAATTTGGATGGATTTTTGATTACTCAAAACTTTGGTTAAATAGCCATTTGAGATAGTACATCAAAGGGGAAAGCAGAGATTGAAACGATTAAATCCAAAAGGAAAAGAGAGGGCCTGCCATTGTTCCGATTCTTTGAAGTTCTTTCTTTGCCCTCTTGTATGTAAGTGTCTTTTTAATTAGAAATCTACACTTTGGGAGTATTTTATTTCTAGGAGGTGGGAGTCGGCAGATTCTTTCTATTGGTGTGCGTCGCCAATTATTGATGGTATGCGGCTGAGGTGTGTAGATTTAGTGCGATGAAGTTGGTTTTCGGTGAGATGGGTGGTGGCTGCCGATTTTTTAGTCTAGGTTTTTGTTCTGTTTTTGCAGCTGCTTCAGTTGCGTTTTCTGGGATGTTCGGAGATGATTTGAGGTGAATTGGAGCTGATTTTTAATGGATTTCGTGGTTGATTTTCATGGCTTTTTGGAATTGAAGTTTGGATAGTAATGGAGTATGTTTGGTGGAAGAAGAAAGGCAACAGCTTCTGTGTTTTTGTTCTTTGAGAAAGAAGCTAATGCGTAGGTTTTATTTAGAGTTCTAGAGTCCTTTCTTTCATCTAATTAGGTCTAGGTCTAGAGATGGAAAAAAACCTAATTTTATTAGGTGAATGCTATGGGCAAATGGGTTGTGGGCTTGGATTGGGTTGAACAAGAATGGGCTGGTGTTTAAAATTAATTGGGTCATTTTAGGAATTTGGCCCAATTTTAAAAGAAGCAAGATCAAAAATATGTTCTTCCTATTTTCTTTTTCTTTCTTTTTTTTCTTTTTTTTAATCAATTAAAATCCTAAATCAATCTATTTTTGTAAAAATTAAAATTCTTTATTTATTTTTAACATTAAAATAACTAATTAACTTAAAACTAAAGAAAAATGCTAATTTTAAAGACTAAAATCTAAATATGTAAAAATGATCATTTTTGTGATTTTTACTTATAAAATTAATTCTCACATGCAAATTGAACTTAAGATGGCATGAAATTAAAACGTGATAATTTTTTATGATTTTAAAATATTAAAAATGTATGGAATACAATTAAATAAAGAAAAACTCCTAAAAATTAATTAAAATTATTTTTGGTCTATTTTTAGGAGTTATTTTCATGTAAGGTAAAAATTAGGTGCTCACAGCTGCCCCTCTTTGCTCGGAAACATGAAGAGTTTTCGGGCAAAGATAAAGTGAGCGACTACGAGCAATTTTTGCCTGTTTGAAACTCCATTTGGAAGCATTTTGAAAAGTTTGACCGAACCTTGCTTCGGAGGTTGCCTACATATCCTGGCTTTAAAGGAATCGGGTCGGTGTAGTTCTGGAAGTTTTGGTAGCTGGGACTACCGAGAAACTGTGATTTCACTGTTGTTGCTGTTATTTCTGCTTGCCGAGCTCCTTATTACACCAAAATGAAAAATAAAAAGCTAAACTAGCTAAGTCTATCAACTACGAGTTACAAGATTCCTATCTATAAACCTTCTAAAGTTTGATCTTGAGTCTTCACTGGTTCTTCCTGCAGACTCTGATCTGAATCTTGATAGTCATTAACTGCAACAGCCGGTTCATTCTCCTTCAGTTTTTCGGATCAAGGCGGGACATGCGAAGCTTGTGACTTCAATCATATCTTGAGCAGTCCGCATCTTTTCTTCGCTTCTACACTTAGAGCTCACTTCTTTTTCTTGTTATTATTTTCTTTTATTTGAATTGAGACTTCTTCTTTTGGCTACCTCGAAACTTGTGCCTCAAGGTAAGAACATGTTCAGGCACCAAAACAAACAAACGAACAAAATTTTTCTGCCCCAGTTTTCACTAGGAAAATTGTGTGAGTTATTTTAAAAATCTAAACTACTTCTTTATTGAAAGCAATAAAAATCCAGGATTGTGTATCCACGGGAGAAAAGAGATTAGGTAGTGTAGCCCTATATCTAAAATGAAATTAAATGGGGATCGGATGCCCTAAGTTGGAAAGATTACCAGGTTATGCTGGCATCAACTAGGGAGTGGGAACCTATACTAAAAAAGACTACCAGGTTATACTGGTAGCAGCTAGGGAGTGGTACTGTAATGACCCAACCGGTCGTTTTAAGAATTAACGCCCCGATACCCTATTAACTGCATTCCCAATGTTTGTTTCTGCTATTGTGAGTTGTAGGGAGGGTTTATATAGAGTTTCGAAGAGTTTTGGGGCACATAGTCCCTAAATGACAGCTTAAGTTTTGAAAATCTAACCGTAGTCAGAACACTAGATGGCCTCGGAGTGGAATTTTGATGGTTCTGTTAGCTCTGTTAGGTGATTTCAGGTTTAGGAGCGTGTTCGGATTGTGTTTTGGAGGTTCGTGGCTAATTTAGGCTTGAAATGCCGAAAGTTGAATTTTTGAAGTTTTCGTTTTGATAGTAAGATTTTGATCCGAGTGTTGGAATGGAATTACAGAAGTTTGAGTAGCTCTGTAGTGTTGAATGTGACGTGTGTGCAAAATTTCAGGTCATTCAGATGAGGTTTGATAGACTTTTTGATTGAAAGCGTATTTTGAGAGTTTTTGAAGTTCTTAGGCTTGAATCCGATGCTAATTGGTTGATTCGATATTGTTTGAGGTGTTTGGAAGATTTGTATAAGTTTGGATAGTGGTTTATGACTTGATTGCGCCTTTGGTTGAGGTCACGGGATGATTTTGGATGGTTAACGGGAAGTTGGAACTTGGAGTTTGCAACTGAAGCTCTTTGAGTTGCTGTCATAACCGCATCTACGGTTGAGAGGCCGCAGATGAAACTCCCGCATATGCGGAGTTTAGCCGCAGAAGCGGCCAGCTAAGTAAAAGCAAGGAGCCGCAGGTGCGGAAGGATTCACGCACCTGCGTGACCGCAGATGCAGTGAGTAGGTCGCAAGTGCTGATTTTGGGACTTTAATGAGTTTTGCAGGTGCGGTCCCATGACCGCAGAAGCGGATTCGCTGGGCAGAACATATAAATAGTTGCCTTCGCGAATTTGGGTTATTCTTTCACCATTTTCATCCGGGAATTGAGCTTTTGGGGAGGTTTTTGAGAGGGAATTCACGGGAGCTTTGAGGAGGTAAGATTCATGGAACCTAAACTCGTTATTATGGTGATTTTATCATTCTAAGCATGAAAATTTAAGGAAAATCAGTGGTAAATTGAGGGTTAGGGCTTGATTAATTAGAGACCTTTGAGTGATGATTTGAGGGACCATTTGAGGTCTGATTTTGATACTTTTGGTATGACTGAACTCGTGAAAGTGTGAGGGTTCTGAAAATGTAAATGTTACCCGATTCCGAGACGTGGGCCCAAGGGGCGTTTTGATCATTTTACCTAATTTCGCATATTAGCTTAGAATTTACTTGTAGAATCAGTCACTTGAAGTGTTATTTAAGTTATGCAATTGAATTGAATAGATTTGGGTCATTTGGAGTCGAAAACTCGTGGCAAAGACGTGGTTTCAGGTTGACTTTGAGTCGGTTCGAGTAGGGGATATTCCCCTTAGGATTTGGTATTATTGATAATTGAAATGCCTTGTACGTGAGGTGACGAGTGCGTACTTGTGCTAATTATTAAAAATTCGGTTTTCATTAAGTAATTACTAGTATGTTTCTTTTCTTGTTTATACTACTTGTAATTTAAGCCTGTTGTTAGCTTAGGAAAGCATGTCTAATTGACTTAATTGCCTTACTTGCTCAAACTGCCTTATTTGGATCACGTGCAGCATGCTAGGTTAGAAATGCCTGTTTTACCTTGGTATGGAGCTTGAATTGAATTGTGTACCCTTTTTGTTGTTTGTGTGTGTTTACTTTTGGACTACAGGACGGTATCCCGGGAGATCCCCCTGTATGTTTACTTTGGGACTCCGAAACGGTATTCTGGGAGATCCCCCTGCACATTTACATTGGAACTACAGGACTACACCCGGTAGATTCCCCCTATACCAAGTATTTATATTAGGGACTACGGATCGGTATTCTGGGAGATCCCCTTGCATTATGAGTTGGACTATGGGACGGTATCCCGGGAGATCCACTGGATATTTACATTTGGGACTACAGGACAGTATCCTGGGAGATCCCTGGTTGTTATCTTTGTGCTGAGCTATCTTTCTTTCTATGTTTACTTTGCCTCTGTAGTAGTTGTTGATGTCCTTTATATCCTGTATTACTTTTATTATTGTACTTACTTATATTGTCTTGTTCTACATTGTTGAATCTTATATTTTATTTAACCTCAGTAGGGCCCTGACCTTCCTCTTCACTACCCGACCGAGGTTAGGGTTGTCACTTACTAAGTACCGCTGTGGTATACTCATGCCCTTTCTATGCATGTGTTTCATGTGCAGATCCAGGTACTTCCACTCAGACTTATCACGCTTGAGACGAGGCGCTTGTAGAGACTCCAAAGTATATCTGCCGCGTCCGCAGACCGAAGAGTCCATTTCTACTCTCCCTTTTGTATTAGCCCTTCTATACTTTCGTTTCTTTATTAGACATTTTGGAGTTAGATGTTTGTAGACATTCAAAGGCTTATGATCATGAGATATCGGATTTTGGGAAATGTTATTAGCTTCGAGAGTTGTTATTATATATGCCGAGCAGCATTTTAAATATTATTTTTATTTCACTATTTTGGTTTTTAAATTATTATTTCTTCCGCGATTGTTGTTTATATTTCGCATTGTTAGGCTTACCTAGCCATAGAGACTATGTGCCATCATGATGGTTCACGAAGGGAAAACTGGGGTCGTGAGAAGTTTGTATTAGAGCTCTAGGTTCATAGAAGTCATGAATCACAAGCTAGTTTATTAGAGTCTCACGGATCGGTACGTAGACGTCTGTACTTATCTGCGAGAGGTTATGTAGCTGTTAGGAAAATTTTCACTTCATTTGATTTCCTTGTCGTGCGAGATTTTGATGTCACAATTCTAAACTTCTATCTTTTATTCTCTCATAGATGGTGAGGAGACGTGCTACCTGAGATTATCAGGCACCCATGCCTCCTACTGCAGTCATCAGAGGTCGGGGCTAGGGTAGAGGCCTAGGACGTGCACGTGGTACAGCCAGAGCACCCACACGAGCTGCCACTGAGGTACCACTAGCAGTTCCAGCCGGAGTCTAGGCACCTGATATGCTTACTGCTACTACTACTCCAGCTCTTCAGGAGACTCTTGTGCAATTCAAGTGCATGTACACCACTTTGGCTCAGGCAGGGTTGCTTCCCCTTGCTGCAGCCACATCTCAGGCCGGGGGAGGAGCACAGACTCCCGCCGCCCGCACTCTTGAGCAGTGAGTGCATGTTGATCAGGTCCCAAAGATTATTCCTGTACAGCCTGTAGTCCCAGGTCAGGCCGAGGACAGGGCAGTGGCTTTAGAGGATGAGCAGCGGAGACTTGAGAGGTTCAGGAAGTATGATCCTCCTATATTCAGTGGGTTAGCATCAGATGATGCCTTGGGATTTATGGAGTGCCACCGTATCCTTCGCACTATGGGTATATCAGGATCGAGTGGGGTTTCCTTTACTGCCTTCCAGCTTCGAGGAGCCGTCTATGAGTGGTGGCGCACCTATG